TCAGCCTATTCTACGCAGACGTAGTCGCGAGCAGCAGCTGGTATTATAAACGCGAAAGTTTATATGTATGGATGGATGTTTTGTTACTCTTTCACGCAAATACTACCGAACGGATTTTAATAAAACTTTACAATAATATAGCTTATACATTAGAATAAGACATAGGCTATAATCTATATACATTGTTTATGTATATCCGTCTTTCTGTCTGAATGTTACGCCTTCAGCCTGTTCTACGCAGACGTAGTCGCGGGCAGCAGCAGTAGTAGTTGATATTTTAACAAAGTATTTAGTAGTAACAAAGTTATTGTCCGATCTTTTACCGTTCACACTAATTTGCGCTGGAAATAAGTAATGTATGGAGTGCGCTTTTATCGTCTAACTCACCTCCATATATCACGGAGTAAGTGCTAGCACTAAAGTGTCAAGTTTCACGCGCGGCTCCATCAGTCAACGGCTATCGGCTAATGGCTCGTCTAACTTTATTGTACACTGTGTTGACGTACGTGCTATCGTAGACCGTGTAAGAGCTACGTAACGCGAGCTACGAACCTACGAACTATTGAATCGGCGAATGCGTGCCTTTTAAATCATGTTGCAGTGATTCTTTTCCGAGTTCGAAATTTGAATTGAGACTCCAGTAATTTTAACGATCGCCACTCAATTGTTAATTAAATTGATATCGCAAATCCTTTAAGCGTTTCAAAGATAGCTTTCGTAAACCATTTAATTAAATGTTAAATTGTAATTAATTATATGAAAATAACACTCATTACATAAGTTTCGAGTTCTATATGTTCATTTTGCACGTACGTATGCCTCGTTCAATTAAACGGTCACCAAACACGCTCTCTGAACGAGAACCATTAAAAAGTATTATTTCTTCGCTACGGAAGCGTGTTATTCGGCCACCAGCGTTTGGCTAGTAGGGCAATTACGCGGCCGAATGATTCGGGGACTCGATACACCCTTTGGTCGCATTCGTCGCAATTCGATTGCAACTCGAGGGCGTGTTTATACAGCGGTTAGGCGGCGGTCGGTGGCCGACGCTGTTTGCGGCGCTTTAAATCTCGAGCGATTTAAAGCGTCCCGTGCGACGTGTTTGCGTTGGTAAACCGAGGTCGATGACCCTTGAACGGATTGTGTAAATCGAAAAAGCAGGATTTTTGAAAAAGGAATTGCAAACGTTCAACGCGTTTAATTTTATATACAAATTTTGATTTTGTTGTTTACCTAATTAGATATCAGTTGTTTTTCAGACAATAACGTGATAATAAAGTTTAAATTTCTTTTCATTAAAAATTACTGCTAAAATAGAACAAATACAATACTTTATAAGTATGTACTAGGCTAGTATTGTATTTGAGACTAGTATTGTATTTCGTTTTATGTAGCTTATATGCATTAAGCTTAATTACATTTAAGTTCTTGATAAAAAAAAACAACATTAATGCTTTCACGAAAAGCTTTGATAGCATAATTTTAAAATTCCCCGTCTATTGCTATTACGCCTTTATAAAATATTCTAAAATTAGCTAAATAAACTAGAGGTGGCATAGTTCCGACGCAAATAGTGTTAAGAGTAACTCGCATCCAGGATTAGTACCTACGGAAGCGAGACTGACTGCTAAAAACGTTTCTTTTTCAAGGGAGAAAATGGCAAGCACGTCAGGTCGCGTTCACCTGACGTTAAGGGATAACCGCTACAAGTCTGCAACACCCATAGGGTTGCAGTTGTAAAGTGGGCACCGTGTACGTCACTCACCAGACGAAACGTAGAAGTACGTCACTTCCTCTTCGCGCAGTTTTTCTTTGAGCTCGTGGTACATACCCAGACGGACTTGCCCATTCGTACAACTGCCCGAAGCTATTGCATGGCCCCACCACAGTTTAATATATATTATCATATATATACACCTAAATATCATTCGGACATTTTTTCAAGTTTACCTTTAGACCGGTTCTATGGAAATCCACGTTGCATAAGGCCTACATGGATACACGGGTCAGTTTGTTTTATAACTCGCCTAAAAATAACATAAAGCCCTATAAAGGATCTAGTGTTCGCACAGGTCACCTATTTACAGAGGTTGTTAGGGCGGAGTCTACCGCGGGTTTTGAGTTCCACACGTATAACTTGCCCTCATTTTATTTTACCTTCGACTTTCTCTGAGCGGATCTCGGTATCGACTCGTTTCATTATCCTCCAATTCAGTTTAAAAAACTAAACTGTTGTTTAAAAGATAAGGGGTGTCAAATTTTCGCTTTTTCTAATGAATATTATTCTGCCATCCTGCCAGTCACCTATTGCGTATATTGATATATCATAATTACGTAAAGTTTATCATATTAAACAAATATTTAGGACAAAACAACAAAAGTTCACAAACGTGTCTAAGTCATAGGAATATAATCAACATGTCACACTTCTATCAAAGTATAGGAAAATACATAAACGGTTTCTAAGATATTCAGACACATGGCTTTTCATCTTCGCTAATGTTTAATTTGAATTTTCAGAACAATCTGGAAAACTCGATCTAAGTTTAATTGCTATTACAGGGCGACGCGATGAGTAGGCAAATTGATTTTGAGCAGCACCCTCCGTGAGAGTTGCCTTATCAGAGACTTTCGCCATATAGACAGAAGCGTCTACTACGTTGATAATGTTTGGCAATCAGTACCTGCAAATTTAATGCTTGCTTGGGGGACTTGCGACTAATGTCTGTGTAATTTTACTTAAAATAGATTTTACCCGCGCCTTTATCAATTCGCCCTCGCCTTCGCGTCTTCAAATCAGTTCAACCGTAATAAAAAAATATGCAAAATTTCAACTTTATGATATTACTAGCTGGTGCCCGCGACTACGTCTGCGTAGAATGGGCTGAAGGCGTAACATTCAGACAGAAAGACAGATATACATAAAGATATGTATATATATTATAGCCACCGTGATAGCAGACACTGATGTCCGGGCGCTCGCCTTTATTTCAATTTACTCGAGCAACCTGTGTTCGATCCCCGGTGCCAGCACCAATGAAATTGTTAAGTGCTGACTTATCACGTGCTCGGCGGTAAAGGAAAACATCGTAAGAAAACCTGCATATTTTCGAAATAATAACAAAAAAAAAATATTTCGAAAAATATGTGATGTCCGCAAATCCGCAGTGTGGCCGCGTGGTTGACTATGCCCTGATACCCTCTGTACAGAGGAAGCCTTTACCCAACAGTGGGACATTTACAGGCTGTTACTTTACTTTTTTACTATTTAAATTATAGCCTATTTCATATTCTGATGTATAAGCTATACCATTGCAACGTATCATTAAAATCCATTCAGAAGTATTTGCGTGAAAGAGTAACAAGCATTCATCGAAACATTATGAAGTAATATAAAGGGTTGGTACCTTTTTGTAGAGTTTATAAAAGCAAAACACTGTCATAATAATCCACTGTCCAAATAATAATGTCAGGAACAATTCCGCGTAGCATCACAACTGTCACTCCAATTTATGCTATCAAAGTCAGTCTATTTTTTTTTAAATAGCAGCTAAACGGACATAAAAATGACAATGAATATTCTATGAGGACCGTTTCAAGTGAAATGTTACAAATGTGTTAGTAGTAATTGCGTTATGGACTGTAGTGATTTGTAATAACAATAAAAGTTTATCAAAGCAAACATTTAAATAATAAATGTGCACTTTCACAATAAATAAAAGATTTTTAATAGAGATAGATTAAAATGGACAGAGAACAAAACTTTTAAAAGATAAAAGATAGGATTATTACTCGTCAGGTATCGTACGAAAGACGTTGTTTAAAGCAATCTTTCTCTGCGAAAAATAACATATATATATATATATATATATATATATATATATATATATATATATATATATATATATATATATGTTAGTATATATACTTACTTGGAACTTATATATACTTACTACTATACTATATATACTTACTTGTAAGTATATATACTTAGTATATATACTTACTTGGAACTTATTATCTCGATGTAGGTGCATAGTATTTTTTTTATTTACACGTGTTTAACATTGTTTGTATTTTTAGATATATTGCATCGTTCACAGCACAATGTAGTTTCGTTTTCTTAATTTTAATCGCTTTTGTGAGCCAACGCTCAGGTTGAATACAAAACCGAAATAGGCATAAGCCGTTGCTAGAACGTTAGAAGCGTATCCTGAAGGAGACAGTTTCAAATCCTTGCAGTGGTAAATATCTTTTGATCCATTTTTCTACAAATTTTTAAATTTTAACTTAACTGCAAAGATACTATCAATTGCTGGGATCACTTATTTGAGAAAACATTTGCATTTGCCACACCCGCAGGGTTACAATGCACTGCCACCTTTTAATAAAGTGGGCCCCGTCCACGTGGCTACCTCACTCACCTGATTTGTCTTGCCCTGTTTTGGACCTGCCCATTCGTGCAACAGCGAAAACTGTTGCGAGGCCGTACCACAGTTATTTATTGTAATACACACCATATAATATACAGTCAGCATAGAAGTCAATATAGAAGATACAGTCAGCAATTAATACGTGGTGTACGATTATTATATGTGTAGTAAGGTAATGAAACTGAAACTTTTTTTTAATGGAAAGTTAAGCAATATCTCCGATTAAATTGTTATTCCTTTTAAATTGTTATTTAGCTTTAGTTAAGTGAATATTGTAATATTCTTTTTTGAGAAATAAACATTTCTTTGAACCTAAACAATAACTATTCCAGTAATATAACCAGTCTGTTCAACCAGAGAGGTATATAGGAGTTGAAAACAATAATGTTATAAATTCAAAAGTGTACAATTTTGTGTATTTATTCCCTCCATCAAACTGTCGACTGAAGCGGGTATTATTTTTAATCGCGACAGCCGTCCACCATTTAAATCCAGATCACTATTATCAATACATGCACTATAAACTTGATGCAGGATACATTAGCCGTATTTATTTAGAAAACAGACATGCAGGCGGAGCCGCCGGGGAAAGCTGGTGCAAATAAAAAGTCGATGAGGCGAATTGGTCGCGATCGACCAATCGCTCCACCTAACCGCATCAGAGACAATTTCCCCGTTGTTAGCGGCGACGCTCAAATTGCGTTCCCCGCCCTAGGGGGAGCCGTAAACGTGTAAACGCTACGTTAACGGTTGGACGTGTTTCTAAACTTATCCTGAAAGGCTTCTTTCGTCGACGGCTTTTAGCGCCCTTGAAGATTTCTTAAAATAATTTTAATAGCAATAACATCACTGTTAATTATCTCTTAAATTACAATAAAAAAGACAAAGATAATGACTTCCCTTGTAATATATACAGACAGAAAAGATAAATGTCTAACGTTTTAGTTATGATGAATGTCTGAAGCTTTTAATATGTAAGCCCTTTTTCTCTAATCATAAAAATGTAAAGGGTACAGTTAGTACGAAGAGTATGAGATCTTTAACGTGGCTACACAGAAGATCAGAGTAAAGTAGAAATATTAATACATAAATCTAGTGACATACGTAAATCTAGTGACTGGTCAGTGTTAACCTATTTGTTTAATGGCAGCTACAACAAATTTCCTAACATTTAATGAATGTAAAATAACTTGTGTGCCCTTTTCACTTTTCTATAATAATCTTTTTTTATGTGAAAACTTACCAAAAGAGCAGACAGTTCACCTGATGTTAAGTGAATACCGCCGCCCACGGACATTTGTTACACCCGAGGGTTCCAGATGCGTTGACAAAATTTTGAAAATTGGACTCCGGCCACCTCACTCACCAAACGAATCGCGAAAGTAATATACTTCCACTTGACGCCGGTCTTCTGTGAGGTCGTGGTACATACCCGGACGAGCCTGCACATTCGTGCAACAGCCGAGACTGCTGCGTGGCCTTACCACCGTGAAAAATAATAAAATACGTAATCTTAATAAAAGCATTTAAAGCATACTTATATACAAAGGTTAAATCACAGCCTATACACGTAAGCAAAGACCTCCTTTGTACAGAGATTATCAGGGTTAATAAAATATAATAAGACAACCCGAAATGTATAGTTCCTCCAACGATTAGTTTCAATAATCTATCAGTTGATTTAGTTACTAGCGATAGATGTATTTTTCATTACCTCCATAATACTTGCGTCAAAATTCTAGTAACCAAATCTACAGATAGATAGAATATTGAAACAGACCATAAGTCAAATACATTCCAGACCATCGTCTGTCCGATAAGCGACAATAGCATAAATGTATGCAGTAACAAATAAATAGGAAAATATAAAACTACAGTTTTTAAAAAACGAAATGTTTTTTATCGGCCTTCCGGATCGAAAGTGGGTTGGGAACTATTAATGGAATCATCGCAGCTGAGCTCCGACTTATAGTTTTTACTAAGGTTTGGGTATCGGTCGGAAAACAATAACCATCACTCCAACAGCATATTCACACACTAACTGTTTATATTCTTTGTTTCTTCATCACTGTTTATATTGTAAATACTGGCAGCGCGTTCTAACACAGTCAGGATTTGTTATTTATTTCTACTCCTTTAAGTTAAAATAATATCAGATAATATTTTCTATAGACCTTGAATATTGACTTGAGTTTACTTACAATTGGAGGAATTACATTCGCACTACTTGATACTGTACATACCTAGAACAAAAAACAATGATTAGTATGTATGATACACTATATCAACCGCGGCGTCTCGCGGCAAGTTATAGCCACATCTACTTATTAATGTGAACTGTACGCATATAAATAATATGAATCAATAAATACGTAGTTCTCACTGCACTGAAAAACTTCTTTCACCTTGACCATATCCATATACATGGCCGTCTGGTATGGGCAGAGTATGCACGTCGCACGTCTTCAGTCTATGCCCAATGTGGTCGACACACGTCTCGTCTTCCTCCAACTACGTGTCATACTCTGAACACGTTTACTTAAAAACATATTATTATTGTTTTTGAGTAGGGTTCAGTCAGTATTATTAAAAGGCATAGAAGAATTTCTCGATCGCATTAGGTTAAAGATAATGACTGCAATAAATTTGGTCAAGCGCTCAAGCCAGTTTATGATAGTTGAGGTAGTTACGGGTAAACAAGGTTTATATTACAAAATGATGATGGAAATAATGAAGACGAGAAAGCATTGATATTTATGACACGGCGCCTTGGGGCTGAGCTGTAATGAAATTATTTAAGGCGTATATTGAATGCCCAAATTCTGATCCTATTAGAGCAGGGACCTCGGCCCATGAATCTGCATAATCCGTTGAATTTCAAATTGTATTAAGAACATGATTGCATAGAATAATCATCTTAAAGATATGGCCCTGTTAAATTTTTGCTCTCGCCTTCAAAACCCGAATTTTCGGAGTTCTATTTCAACTTTACATAATGCATCAATTGACAGTGTTAGGACTGATTAAAAATCAAGCTACTTAACAATTCAGTTTTCATGATAAACAGTAATGCTAATTAACAGATCAGATTAATTTCAAAAAGTGGTTGCACCATTTATAATTTCTATGTCCCAAATTCCCTAGTGCAAGATAGAGATTATAAATATCATATAGATAAAGACTTTGAATTGTACAGCGTTACTTCGTAGACAATAACCATTATAATGCTCGAATATAAAGACATGGTAATAACATTAAATTTTCTTAAAACATGGCTCAAGTTGGGATAAGAGAACGCGGAAAAACGCGTTACTTCTCAAGTAACATTTATTTCAGAAGAAGCGGCATTTATCTTGTAGATTGTTTAAACTTTTATTTGCGTTGTAAAATCCGCAAATTTCTCTTCAAAACTTTTTTATGATAATGTATAAAAGATTATTTTATTAAAGCCTACATTTCATGCTGCCAACATTACTAAAGTTTTTTTTTCATGTTTGTGTTTGTACTCAAATAATTTTGAAACAAAAGGGAAGTTTTCTTCTTTTAACATCGCGTTAAGAAATCTTTTTCATTCGTGATTAACTTATACTCTTGTAGAATGTCCATCAGAGCCATGTAGAAAAACAAAAATGAGAATTACATTCATGAATATTTTTATTCACAAAACAATTTTTTTGAAGCGTTTAAACCGTGAAAATCAAATAAAATCTTTATTTGATTTTAACACAAATCCATAACTGTGTTACACGCAAAGATAACCTTGTTATCATGACGAGTAAGTTATTTACAGGTTTACTACAAACAGATGCACTTTTACAAAAAGTAATTAAACGGAACCGTAATACGGTTATACTCATATTAAAATCATTATTCAAAATAAAAAACAAAAGAAATTCTAAGGTATGAAATGAATTAATCGGAAAGATGTACTTATCCTTATTCATAAATATAAACATTCTTCATTTTGATCACCGTAGAAGTTTCTATATTTTTCCGTAATATATATACAGCGTGTCGTTACCATCGCGACAATAAATGAACACACGTCTAACGCTACTTGCCAGTAATCATAAAAAAATATTAACCTTAAACAGAATCCATAATTAAAAAAAAATATTTTTCAAACAAACTAATTAAGTAAAAAAGACTATGTTTTGTGATCTTTACTAATGAACTTTACCATACAGTTTCCTACGTAAGGGTGTTCTAAAATTGTTTGTTTTGGAAAATTTAATAACTCGGTGAATATTGATGTTTAAAGAATGTAAACGTTTTATACAATTTTAAAAAGTTATCCTCTATATGTGTGTTCATTTATTGTCGCGGTGGTAACGACACGCTGTATATATATTTATATTTCCTAAAAACGATTTTAGGAAATATTTATATGGTAATCATTTCAGCAGCATTAACTCCACTTTGATTTTGTGAACAGAGACAAAATGGGCGTTCCAACAGCGCACACGTCACGCCGAAATTGAACGACGGAATCGATTACAATACACAGAGGCGGACCATGGCGGTCACGGTGGTCAGAGCGATCGCGGCGAGTGATTCACTGCGATGAAATTGAATCGGTCGACGATTATTCGCGCACCGAATGCGGCCCCGTGCGTTGATAATTTCTATCCGCTCGTACATTAGGGGCGAATGGTCGATTTGGCAAAATGCTCTAGCATTTTGCCAAATCGACCAAAGGTTAGAACCTTTATTAGGGATTACCACCTGAATTAATCCCCTTTTATACTACTTAATAAAGACCGTAATCAAAAGCGTCAATTAGTATTAAGTTAACATTTATTTTATAAAAAAACACTAAGGAGTACTTGCGATCAAGTAACCCACTTCGTAACGTGTAATGCTAAAACTATTTCAGTAAAAGTTTACTCTACCCTTGTCGCGAAAACACCTACACGACATTCAGACGAACAGACAGACGCCGGCATTATTTCCTTCGAAAAGTCTTCTAAACTTGAATTTAGCTACATTCGCTAGAACGTAGCTAAATTCGTAATTTTTAATGGCATAGCATTAAAACTTGTACCTTTTAGGAGGTGTTGCAGAAGGTTTTTGAATGTCAGTTACTCATAATAAGTATAAATAATGTGTTATTATTTAGTTATCATAGCTGTATCATTAGTCTTTGAACTTACGTCGATCCAGCAACACTATTGTGAAGGTGTGAAATATTGAAACAATCGAGTACCGTGCCGTAATCGAGACCCTTACTTACCAAGCAATAAAAGTCTGTTTAAACCATACTGGAAGAGAAGTCATCGGTTAACGGGGACTCAGGAAAAGAGCTGATTTACAAATGTCACAATCTCCTTAATCAAGGCTTCGCTCGTAGGCGGCCTTAGAAGCGACTCATTGAAGTAACCACTCCAGCTATTCTTGAAAAAGTTGAAAAATTAATATTACAATATGATAACATTGAAGACATTAAAGAAGTAAAAACCCATAGTAATAGTTGAAGTATCTGATATGGCCATTTTTATAATTCTTCTTGATCATCTTGACATAAAGTGCTGAAAATGCTTACGCTACCATTTTTAGAAATATTTATTTAAGAAAAGGAAAGTCAGATTGTTACTGGAGATCAAATTTGGGTTCATCATTATGAATCCAAATCCAAGTAAGTCTCCATGCAGTAACATAAAAGTGTAACATCACACAAGACGTATAAGGTGTCACAGTCGGCCGGAGTTTACGACAACGGACCCACCGTTATCGTGAATTTCGTGTGAGTTTTTTGATGAAATTAAATCACGGACACAAGTTGTGTTTTGTTTTCTTATTATTTTCAAGTCAAAATTGCTTTTTAGATCTCGTTTGACCAGTATCTGGCCACGTCCACCGCAGCAGAATTGGCTTCAAGCAGGTCTTCGTAGGTGCAGGAGAAGGGGCAAAACGGACATTGCAGCAGATGGGCCATAGTTTTGACCTCGCCACAGTGACCTTTGTTTTCGTTTCCGATCAATTTGAAGCAAAGCGAAAAAAAATCATCTCGTGTAAGGTTCTATATTTAACAAAACCATTGCGGCATCAGTGCAGTTCAAAATATACATACCTAAGTATGTAACATATTTTAAGGGGTATAGCGAATGGATACAGCATTTCGCTAAACGTACCTAGCTTTTATCTAGAAGTCCTCACCTCATATCATCATTATCATTACAGCATACTTCAAATCCACTGCTGACCCTGAAAGCCAAATATTGCTACAAAACACTCTTTTCATACTGTCTCTACCAAAACATTATTGCAGTTTGTGACTGTAAGCTATCTTTAAATTATATGAATAAATATAAACAAATCACAAAGGAAGAACTTTATTAAATTCATTGCAGTTCGATATGACAGCCAATATACAATACGCGTACATGTTTTTTATTTGTAGACTAATTCAATCAATTCCTGAATTTAATCGCACATATTTCACAGCATCCGCCATGTAATCGAACTTTAACTAACAACCTTATTCCACAGAACAGTGAAATGTTAAAACAACTTCCAATCAAATTCAATTTAATTATAGAAAACAAAAAAAAAGCGTTGGACTTTAATTTTGGAAGCGTTCGTAGGCCAAAACCGAAACAGAACAATTCTCATGCAAAAGTTAAAAAGAGGAACACAAATAGACGGGGGAGTTGCTGAATCGGAACATTCCCTAGAAATAAATACAATTTGTAAAAGATTGAAAGTAGAAAATATTGTTGTGATTTTATATTATAAGTTTTGTGTTGTTCACAAGCATACTTTACAAAACTTTTAGTCTTATACACTTTCATATACACTTTACATCATTTTAACATTTTAAAATTATGCAGTTTCAATCGGAATTTTATAAGGGACGAGCGAGGCCTTCTGTACAGGTGTCTTTTTACTACAAATATTTAGAAGATGAACAAAGATCAAGAAGAAAGAAGGGTACCATTAATGTTTTAAAAATAACTATTTCCGTTTAAAGCCATAAATCTATTGGCGTTAATGTTTTTATTAAAATTCGTTTAAATTTTTTTTAGAAAAATATATCTACTATAATTGACAATTTGTTTAAATTAAAGATAGCGATTAGACAAAGTAGACTGAAAATTGTTAAACCTTTATTAAAAAAAATATGTACTACTATTCGGTATGTATCGCGGTACTGTGCTAACATTTCGCACGGGACAACTAAATCGCAGCTAAATCGACTCACCCCGACAAAATGTAAAATTCAATTATTTTTTTTCAAAAATTGTCAAGTAAAGTAAACAAAATTATATGTTTTTGAAAACCAAATGTTTAAACTTTTAAATAACGTTATTATTTTCTTTTCCCATATTTTTTTTAAATATCCTGACATACAATACAATTTTATGTACATTACTTTCGACGACTTTACGAATTTTTGAGAAAAAAAGAAATTGTTTACATTTATTCGGGGTGAGTAGATTTGGCTGCTCGTTACTTTATGTATTTTTATTTTACTTATTTATTTAGTAAGTCAAGCAATTACCGCGGTACATGTACAACAGTTACGTTGCCGACCTCTAAAAAGGAGGCTCGGTTAAAGTCATTGGACGAAATTCAAAAGCACAAATACTTCTGCTTTATCTTGCAATAAAAACGATGACTCTACCAAACGATAACAATATTTTTTTTACTGAGCAATTTTTGTCACAAATACCTACATATACTATTGCGTCATGTTATTGTTACCCCCTTGTCTTTCTTATCACACAAACGGTAATAACAGTAGTGAGGCTTCATGTGCCAATAAAGTTGAGGAAGACCATATTCGCGATCTGCAAAGATTAATGTAGTGGACACATCGTTCAACCGAGTGAATGAACGCTAATAAAGTTTACATTCAATCTTTACGATTCCGTACACTTAACATAAAAACTTTATTGGGTGCGATCTCGCGATACGGCGAAGGAGAGAATTTGTTTTCGAAAGTAATTCTTTTGATGAGTCTGGCTAACAACGATTGTATAGGAGTTTTACTGTTTTTATATCATTGCACTGCATGACGTTTGAAATAAAAGTTGGTTATGTATAAGTTTCTTATTTGATATTAAAAATATGTAACAATAAAATTAATAAGACCACAATTAATTTGGACACTTAACATTCCAATGCAGAAATAAAACACGCACTTTATTTCTACATAGCCATTTTAAATCTCAGCACAGTCAACAGCCGATGGACAACGTAGAAATATAAAGCGGCAACGAGAACCGTCACGCAGAACAGCGCGTACGAATCGTTAACGAGGGTCAAACCGAGCGAGAGTAGGAAGGACAGCGTCATTATCGCGACGTGGCAGACTAGGTACCACTTGCGGTAGTTCATCAGACGACGCTTCCTCATCATGCCGGCGATCAGCACCGCGGTGGCCAGGAACAGCTGCACGTGGAGCAGACCGGCCACAGATTCCACCAAAGCGCTCCTCACGTTCTTGTACGTCAGCTCCATCTCGCCCAAGTCCATCGACATGATCAACGCTGTGAACCCAACTATCGGGATAACCGCCGACACGGCCACCAAGAGGAACGACCTCCGAAGCATCCGGCACAGGCTGCACGATTCGCCCTCCTTGTTACGAATCATAGTTGATATTCCGTCGAAAAATAACACGAATTCGTCGAAAAATAACACGAATTCGTCGAAAAATAACACGAAATACGAGTATAATAACACGGGCTTCCTCTGCATGCGCAACTTTTGATTGATGACGTTACGTCAGCACTGACAGTCGTAAAGGCGCTGAGCAGTTTTGATTGCTTTCGGCACAGAAAATATAATAAATTGGAAAATAAATTTTAGATTATAAATCGACTGTCAGCCGCAATGTGCGCTATTAAGGACTGTTCAATGTGCCGTAATGGGAGTTTTTCAAATTGTATAAAATATCTGATATAAAACAATATCTTCTCAAATTATCTGATATATTAAAGGATCTGAATGTCTTGTGTACGTGAAATGAATGTATGTTAAATGATAATTGATCCCTGTATCAATTAATATATTAATTGATACAGGGATCGCCGTTTTAAAAAATTTTAAAATTGAGAGATGTGTCAGGCATATTTACCGAATCAAAACGGCAACGTTATAAAACAAAGTAATAGAAGCACCTCCTACATTAATGAATGTTTCAAAATCCATCTAAAATTAAACATTATTTCCTAAGGAACCTTCACTTCATATTTTTATTACCATATAATTTTAGTGCATGGTAATAAGAATATCCAAAGTATCCAAGCAGAGAAGACTGCGCTCCATGACAAATTGCTATAACATACGCCGTCCAAAGGATATTAAGCTTCCTTTCTAATGCTCGCTCTACCACCATCTATCATCCGGGCAGCTTAAATTAGCTAGTACATGACGGAACATTTATCATAGCTGCATCAGCCAGTTTGCGAGTGCATTAATTTCAACAGCTACCTCGGTGCATATGGGCGATCACTTAGGAGGCAGTATTACTGGGAGCAAACGAGAAGATTGACAGAATAGCATGAAATTACTGATTAAAACAAATATACAAATATGCTAATTTCGATTTTATATTTTTTATTTGGTCTAAAAGAGCTCCGCTGTGATATTTAGTCCTTATAATTATATTATTTAGTCTTTAATAGTACTTTTTGCACTAAATAAAAGTAATTGTAATAGCCGGTAACGCTAACGCCCGGTTTCTGAAACACTGATCATCGCAAAAATTAACTAATCAGCTGTGAAATGTCATTCGAGTTACCAAAAGGTAACTATCCTTTTGGTAACTCGTTACTGTTTTAATTGATCATTCTGACCATTAATAATATTATTATTGATTAGTTTAACCAGGTTAGCTGGCAGAGAACTCATGAATTGAGTTAAGCTTACCTTTTGTACATAGCCTTATCTTTTTCATTTTTTTGGATCTTGCGTTTTGTGTACTATGAAAAAAAAACAAATACGTGTCTACTTTATTACTACTATTCCACGTATAATGAACTTTTTCGAATCGAAGCTATGTACAATAGATATCACGTTTGTACAATTTTCGAACGGTAAAAAAATATCGCCTTTACTCTAAGCACGCGTTCCTAAACCGACTTCTATTCATAAAAGCAAAACTCCATCTAATGAAAGGCGATAAATATTCACACCGACGACCCGATAAATGATCACTATTTAAGAAAATAGCGCCACACCTGCACCACACCTATGTAACCGCCTGTGGCAAGATAAGAGACTACTAACGGGAGCTACGATACTATTTATCATTATTATTACATTGGAGTATACAACTGGTATGCAAAGGCCTCCCTTCGCTCCATCCAGAATTGTTTTGTGTGTGAAAAGTTGTTAAGCGAGAAGGCTTGGTGGTTCAAATGATACCAATGATGGTAAGTGATTATCATCGCCCATGCGTGTCTGCAATGCTTGTAGGCTTTTAGTTGCGTTGACAACCCTTACAAAAAGCGAGAATTGCTCGATCTTCGGCTGCTCTGGTCCAGTCCTTGTCATAAAGTCTAGATTTGTCTCTGTCTAGGGGGTTGTTTTATTTTAATTTTATTAACTTAGCAATAAAGTATCAGCCTATGCATGTCCCACAGCTGGGCAAAGGCCTCGTCTGTACAGAAGGTAACAGGGCATGGTACACCACGGGGTACCACTGCGGATTGGCGGACTTCATATATCATCGAAATATTATAGACACTGAACTATCACGGCTACTTTACTTAGCTTACTATATATTATAAAGATAAACACACATAATTGGTTGTTGTTTACAGATTAAGATAATTAATTTAGCATTAGCCAAAAGACTGTACGTTTCGGTTTGATAAATATTATTCTCTAATAAGTAAAACAATTTGAGTTTTAGATGAAAAATGTGTTTATTGTGAAATAACTCATTAAAGGAAAAATATACAAGAAGTTTATTGGTAAATATTACACTGAAAATAATGCCACAATTTTAATAAGATAAATCATTATCTTTTACACTGTTTTCTATAATCAGTTATGTAATGATTACAGCGTATTTTTTCCGCATCAAACAATAACATAATAAATTATTTGAAATTATTGATCGCATAAAACATTAGCAGATAACAATTGTATTCCTTTAACGATAAGGATTGAAAATAGTACTCGGCGACCATAAAACTTAACTTTACGATTCATCAGATCTTTGACAACTTGGTCAAGATTCTTTTATATGAGACTCCGGAACCCCCGGCATCAGCCTTTGGGAATTTATAATTGATATCATCATCAAAATGTTTTTGTCGAAAAAAATAACTACAACCAAATAAAAAATTTCAAGACAGAGATCAGACGTACTGCACTTACGAAACACAAAAAATCAAGTGCATAGCCCGTAGTACATGCCATTGCAAGTTAAACACACACACCAAGGTTCAGGCTAGGCACGCCGTGCGTCAGGCCACCTCAAGTCCGTCGGATCTGGAAAGACCCCTAAGGCCAACAGTGGCTCATCAAACCTCAAAAAAATAATAAACATACACTAGTACTACAGCAACCTTGAAATTCTGCTCTAGCCTTTAGGATATACATCTTGTATCTCGGGATATTTCGCAAAGATTACAAAAAGTATTGGGTTGGCAACTAGGTAATTGCGGATTTGTTAAATTAAAATAAAAGATTTTTTACGTGGAATATAGTTTATTCTAGGTATATTTTATTTCCCATTTTGTTCGATGATCTTTTGGCATCTCTCTGAAAACTTGAAAATTCCACGCTCGTAGAAAGTCAGGAATCTTTTCGGCCAAACGTGATAAAACATAAAAAAAATGGCGAAGCAAAGTATGGCAAAAATATTCATTTTTGGCCTGCACATTAATATTGAGGTAAAAAAAATATCTTCGCAATGAACTTGTAAAGCTAGGTAAGGATGAGAGCTAGCACGTATAAGAAGAAGATCATAACATTTACGGATATCATAAATAGGAGTGAGAAACATTTAATGCTGAAATCCGCAAAGACTTATTTGACAACCGTAAGAGGTTTATCATGTATCATATCTAGATTATAATATTCAGATTCGGAATAAAAATTTATGGAGCACACAGAGCTTAGTCCCGCATGGGGATCGACGTGACAGATTAAATAACGAACAAGCTAAATTAGCAAAAGTATTCTCAAACCGGTCAGTGCACGGTTCGCCAAGACGTTTTCTATTAAGTACCAATATACTAAATAGAAAACTTCTTATACACTCGTATATGCGCATTTTTACAGATCGTAAACATTTTAAGTTTCATCCTAAGTGCGGGACACGTATTAAAAATAAAATTAATCATAAATTGTATAAGCTAAAAGTAATGCCAAAGAAGGTAACAAAGGGCGTAATTAACGCCTAAGCACATTCCCTTCTGAGATAATGTTTACGGATTATTGCCTCTGCCATAGACAAAAGCTAACAGTTTCGTCACGATCTTCCAAACTATAAATAAGAATGACCACGGAGATTAAATCCCACCGTAGTTAAACTGGGCTTCCCCAGTCTGATAACAGAAGAATACACGCGGGTAATAAATTATTCAAAACGCAACAACACCAAACCGCCGACCGTGGCAAATAATAACGTCATTACGTCACTGGCCAGGAATCTCGAAACAACCCTTTAGATCCTTTCGGTTCCCATTACGGCAATGTTACAAGATTTCACGAATTCAACTTACTTTAAAACAGAAATTAATCAAATCCATTTATATATAGTCTGCGAACTTAAAAACGTGTTTACGCGTCTGCATAATAATATGCAATTTATTTAATATAAACGAGCCAAAAGAGGTGTCGCAAGTTTCCGTAAAAATAGTTTTCTCGCCTATATTTATTCGCTCCATTATTTCAATGTCAAACCACGGAAACCGTGGTTGATAAATGATTTTTCGCAAACAATCTTATAAAACGTATTGGCAATAACATTATCTTGACAGTACAGATCTTGTACAGATGAGTAACAATTGCTAATATTGATCCAACTGTTTATACCTGATTGACATTGATAATGAACAACGGAAAAAATATGTGACTCTCATGTGGCATATTCTTAGGGTTTTCATATTATCGGATGGTATTTAACTTGTTTGAAAAAAAAGTAAGCCAAAAAGGTAAGGACAACATTTTTATCAAAGCTTTGAACATACTTTTCCGAGGCTACCCATTCACGAAACATCTCGTCTAATATACTATAAAAAATAACTAGCATTCGAGGTATCGGCGGACTATATTTCAAGAAAAGAAAGATTTTATCAGTAGTATTACCGTTCTGTCGCGTTTAGTACTAAATAAATTTATTGATATTCAGCATTGGCTAGGGATAGGGAGCGCGGACTACCAGACAGTACTGGATAACTCCTATAGATGCCATCTTACAGATTTCTCTTGCCTTCTCTTCACTTCTTTCTCTTCTAGACTTCCGTAAACCAACTTACGAGTAAGCTACAGTAAATCTGGGCTGTATATGAGGTATGTAGAGAACATTTCGAGTGTTGATATGTTGCTTCCTAATAGAACCCTTCATACGGTGGCAGTCATTAGAGCCCCAACTTTATTTAGTCTACACGATTGAGTTGTTCATCCCTACTTCG